TGCTAAAGATGGAGCAGCTAGTTCATGCTTAATTTTTGGCGAAAGCATATTTTTTATGGTTGCTTTGTTTCTGTCACTGTAACTACTAAAAATATGTTTTTTGGATTCTACTCTCTCTCACCTCCCATTTTCATAAGGGTCTGTAGCTTTCTGCTTGTGGAAAAGCATTTCTCTTCCTCTCTCTGTACTCCCCCCTTATACTTTATAAAAGTCAACATTATAAAAAAAAAAATGTATTTTGTTGGTAAGTGTAAATCAGAATCTTCAACTTTTAACTTGAGCCTGATGTTGAAAGGGTTTTTCAACAAAGATTTGAAGCACATGGCTCTCTAGGAGCTCGAAGTCCACATCACAGAGACTCATTTTCGAGTGAGAAGATACACATCTTTCTTTCATCATCAAAAGATGCATGAAAACGCATGCAACATATTCGTTTGGTTTCTCACCCTAAAAACTAGACCTTGATGTCGAAAGGGTTTTTCAATAAAGCATCAAAGCATACGGTACTCTGAGAGCTTGAGGTCCACATCTCAAAGAGTTTTTTCTAGGTAGAAGCGGCCGTTCCTTGTTTAGTCCTCAAATGAGCATGAGAAACACAAACGGTATATTGTTTGCTTAGAGTTCTAGAAACTCCAAGAAAGTAGATACCCAAGGGAGCCCAACCCTGTTTTTATGGTAGAGAGCTATGTTAAAGAGCACTCAATACTCCGATACCATTGTTAGGGGAGGGCTGTCAAAGACACCGATCGGAATAATATTGGATAGGGTAAATCATACTCTATATATGGAGTCCAAAATTAAAGCTTATAAATAATATAAAATTTAGTGTCTTTAGAATAATATTGGATTGGTTAATCGTACTCTTTATATGGAGTCCAAAATTCAAGCTTATAAATTATATAAAACTTTAAATCTTTTCTCTCTTAAAACTTATGGTGTGGTCTAGGGGGTATTTGTGCATAATTTCTAAAAGGTAGAATCTCGATTCCAAATTGATGGGACGATGATTCCAACAATATAGGAATCAAGATTCCTATTTTATCAGATCACAATTATAGATGGCATTGATTCAAGTGGATGATGAGCGATTCTAGAAAGGTAGGAAACTCGATTCCAAATTTATTGGACACTAATTCCAACAAGATAGGACACACGATTCCTATTTTATTGGATCGTGATTCCAATATAGTGGGAATCATGCGACAGGTGATTTGCATTATACAAATGACGATTCCAATTATAGGAATCATTTGACACCCGCGATTCTGTGATTCCAATTCTTGAAATGATTTGGAATCATAAGCATTTCCAAGAACTATAGATTGAGTGAAGAGGAGACCCACGCCCACCCCTTCAAACCACTGCATAGTGGTTGAGGAATTGTGGGGGGAATTCCTACAGCTCTTAGGGTGGTCTTGGGTAGCCCCACGGATGGTCCCCCTCCTCTTCGGATTGCTCCAACATCTGCCATGGCCAAAATCAGGCATCTTGTTTTGGAAAGCCACAGTGTCAACCATGTTGTGGGTCATTTGGAACACCAGAACCAAAGAATTTTCATGAAGAAAAGGCTCCTATCGAGGTCCTAACAGAGAGAGTGAGAACTAGGGTGATCTTTTGGGCCAAGAATCACAAACACTTCAAGAACTACTCCTTCACGGACTTCCTGTAGAATTGGCTAGCTTTGAGCGGCCTTAGAACTCCACATGTCTCTTGAGCTTCACTATAGAGACCACTCAAACCAGACCATGTCAAACTTAACCTCGACGGATGCTCCCGTGGTGGTCAGCTGGCATCGGGAGCATTGTCAGAGACCACCTTGGCAACGCCATCATGTCCTCCTCCAAAGCCCTCGGCCACGCCAATAGCATCACAGCAGAATCCCTCGCCCTCCTCGAGGGCCTGATCACTTTCAACGTTGCTTGGAGAGATCTTCTTATCGTCGAGGGGGATTCCAAAAGTGTCATATCTTGGGCATTGGGATCCACTGCCCACCCTTGGCTCACATTTTTAATGAAATTTTCGAGATTTTCAGGCGTATACATACCTCTTAGACACATATATGGCACGAGGCCAACTCCAATGCCAATGCCCTCGCTAAGTAAGGGGCCACACGGTCGGACGTAGGGAAATCTCTTGATAGTTTTTGGAGATTGTGGTTCCTCACTACTCTGTTTTGGGTCCTTATAGTGGATGTATAGCATTTTTTGGACATATCCCACCATCTCGATGGTTTTTGTATATTGCTACCCTGCGAGGGATGCCATTTTTTGTACTTGTACATCCTTATTATTAATGCAATGTTAACTATTTCAAAAAAAAAAAACTTGTTTACTACTCATAAAACAAGTTTCCAATTCACACTCAAATAGGCCTACAGAAAAGTTCAAGTCTACTTGGCTTATACAAAGTTTGCTGTAGCGACATTATTACAAAGTTTGCTGTGGCGACATTATTCATCCTGCAGGTGTAGTATGACCCAACTGGCAATGGATAGAATCTCATTCGAACCCCTTACCAATATCCAAATTTCATGAAATTTGGACTGAAGATTCCTCACTTCAGCACTAAACCACAAAATTTCACCCCCCAATCCAAGATCATTAGATCAACCCTTTGTTGCCCTTGACAAAGGCAATTTTGCAAGCTGCATTCCACAGCACAAAACTGGGAGAGAGCAAAGTTTAATTCGATTGACCCCCCATATAGGTGTCCAAATCAAACACGATTTTGAATGTCGGCTCTTGAGACACTTGTAAATCAGTCCACAAAATTTCATCTTGATTAAAGCTCACTAACATGGAGTTCTATTGCAACAAAGTTTGGCATGAGCTTATATTTCAAAAACTGTACAAAATTTAATCTTGATTGAAGGTTGCTACGATCACCTATTTTGGCTCACAGCTAACTCCATTACGGCAAACTGCAACAGATCAGCATCCTTCTGTTGTCCATGACAGAGGCAATTTTGCAAGCTGCATCTGCCGTGCAAAACTTAAGAGCGGGCAAAGTTTACTGCGAATGACCCCCCATATAAGTGTCCAAATCAAACGACATTTAGCTTTGGGCTCTTGAGACACTTTTAAATCAGCCCACAAAATTTTCATCTTGATTGGAGGGAGATCAAAAAATTGATATTCTATAGCTCACAAATGCTCAACCCCATATTTCAAAAACTACGGTCCGCAGTTCAAACTCGAAAGTGGACTGAATTTTATTTTTTTGAACCCCTTATTGATGTCCAAAATCATAACATTTTAACTATAATTCCTAAGGCATTACATTACCTACCTACAAAATTTCATCTTGATTGAAGGTTGCTAAGGTCGCCTATTTTGGCTCGCAGTGATCTGCATTGTGGCAAACAGCAACAAACCAGCATCATTTATTTGGTCCCCTCAATGATCTCCAAATTCAATGAAATTTTAACCACAGCTTCTACAACAAATCATCTTGATCCCTTAAAATTCATCTTTACATGAGCTGATTAAGGTGGTCATTTTAGAGATCCTTGCCACAGCTAGGCGCCTCAATAGCATTGTGGCTCACACGAGCTTTTGAACAATAGCACTGTGCCTCAAATCTTGTCCAAATGCTATAAAGGTGAACAGAAAGCATGTTATCACCTTCCTCAAACATTCCAGCACATTTGAGATCAAATGAACATCATTTGGCCCCATTTCAAAGGTTCACCACCAGACTCCACACAAACAGGTTTAGCAATTTGGGCCCATTTCAAAGGTTCACCGCCAGACTCCACATAAACAGGTTTAGCATGCAGCGCACCGTTGGAATACCCTCCAAATCAACTCCAAATCAAATGAAATTTGGTGTATAGGCAAATGAGACCATTAGAAGGGTATACCCAAAAGTTGCAGCTCATTTGAAAGCTGTTATCATGACTTTTGAAGTTCAAGGAAGGAATGGGAGCACGTGTATGCATTGTTGTTTACAAAGATCTATAATTTTATGTCCACCTGAACAGCACATCACAATGATTTTATGTGTAAATAAATTTTAGAGGTAGAAGTATACTAGTGAGTCATGAAGGAATTAATTATCATCCAATGGGCCCTAAGTTCACATCATCACCGGTTACATAAATTCAAAGCAAAACATAAAAGAGCATGCATAGAAAACAAGTACATTTCAAGATGGCAGAATTTTGCTTCATTGCTTTACCGTTCCATGTTGAAAACTTGGTGTTTCAAGAAAACAATTGTATACTATAAGACCATTTATTTTCAGTACAAGGAGGTCAAAATCAGTTTTAGCCATTAGATAGAAATCTAGTAGATGAACGTGTGCATAACATTAAAGAAATTTTGTTTTGGACTGTGTGCCTAAACAATGACATGTCAACAACCACCAGATTTCAAATCTAACGGTCAACAACAATTGTGACATCCTTGTATAAAAAGTAAATGGTTTCATTGTATACATTTTCTTCAAGAAATTGGTAGATTGTATTAGCTGTTATAGCCAAGTTTAAAGCCCATGCAAACAAAGAGATAGCAGGGATATTAATAAATGGAACAGATTTTTGACATGTTATTTTGACACATTCCAATCATCATGATCACACTGAATGCATTGGTAAGATTTATGCATTTTATGTGTACACATCCTTTTATTCATTGTCATTATAGTGGCATCATCCCATGACCTTTTCCTTTTATTCATTGTCATTATAATGTATAACTCCATGACGTTTCCTAATTTTATACATGTGCAAGGTAAGTTGGTCCCTCATTCTGGGTTGGTCCCTCATTCTGGGCAGGAAAGTGAACTACAAAAATTTACTTGTTGAATATTCCCAATAAATGGCATGTATCACATTCATTTGCAACCCAATCTGCACCTATGTCAGCTGAACATTTCCCTTCCTTTTTTTCAGTCATTTTTTCTCTTTTCTTTGTGATTGCTTTGTCAATTTCCTGTCCATCAGCCATCAGTACCAGTAAGTTAACCGGGGGAGGGGGGGGAGAGAGAGAGAGAGATACCTCAGCATTATGTATCTTGTATTCATGTAGAATTTGGTAGCAAAGCTTCTCATCAACATGAGTCAAAGTCAAAGTGCTGTTAAAAGAAATGCCTCCTGTCTTTTTCTTTTTGAAATATATCTGCAAACTCAGAACATTACATACAGATAATAGATCAAAAGAAAATCAGTCGTCAACCAAATAAGGCTTCTCACTGGACCATGGTATTAGGTTTCGGGAACATTCTGGTAGAATCAAGGAGACAAGACAAGAAATACAGCAATCATAGAGACAGAAAAGAGTATACACTAATTATCCAAATTAGTACGATGGCATACTTGTCCAATTCCTAACTTTTGGTTACAAATAGTCAAGCCAATATCCATTAAATGCCTACTAAGAAAAATCCAAAATGATTAGGTCTGCAATTATTTCATCAAGTAGCAGCCAAGCAAAGATCTGGGGAATACCTACTAAAATTTTTCCAAGAAAGATAATCGAGCAAGGTGTAAGATAAAAGGCTAGATTTGGAAGGTACAGTTGGTAAGTTTTGAACTGTTTTGCTATTTTGCATTTCGAACTACTCACTCTTAAAAGCCCAAGAACAGTACATTTTTTTCTCAGATATTTAAAAAATAGTACACAATCTTCCACACTATAATCTGAGTTACTAAAGAAATTAATCAAACATCTTCAAGTATTAAATTGCATGCTACCTTCATCACAGAAGCACCTCACAGATACAATATATCACAATTTGTTCACAATTTAAAAGTGTCAACACCTATTAGACCTGAATTACAGAAACATGTAAACACTTCGGGTAAAGACTAGGGACAGACGAAGGTTGGCCTAGCTGGGATTCCTGTAGGGTTTCTAAACTAATGTTGAGACTTGAAGATGTCTTGAAGGATTCTAAGAATTTTTCCAGATAAATACTCAGAGAAAACCTCATTATTTTTTGGCTGTTACAAATTTTTTACTAAAAGACATGACCTGAAACATATTTATACATAAAATCCTGCGCATTTCTTCTCTCCCCATTTGTTGAAAGGATATATACTTCTATAGAAATATGTTTGCTCTAGTAAAAACCCTCTTTAGGAACATTCTACGACCCCTCAACCTGGCGAAGAAAATATCATATGGTTTTGCATGTTCATGAAAAATAATGTCTTACGAGAAGATATTGCCCGATATTTGGACATCAGATCTAACTTTTTAGAAACTCAAGATCATTTAAACATAAAAAAGGAAAAGAAAATACTCATCTAGCTCTTCTAAAGAGGATGCCAAAAAGTTTAGATCGAAAAAATACTTGTACGTGTTATACTCAAGGGTTTAAGTGTTCTACTTCTGTTAGAGCATGTACGCTCTCTTCTCTCTATGTTTGTCATCTATTTTGTATCTTTTGAAAAATTATATGCTCATGCATGTTTATGATTCCTAGAGTAAAAATCATGTCGGAGTCCTTGTAATATCCCAAATTTAGAGATACAATCTCATAAACCTACAGACCAACCTAAATAAAATAAAATAGAGAGAATCATTTATACTTTTTATGTGCCTAAAAAGACACCCCAAATTTCTGATAGATCTAAGCATTTAGAAACTTAATATCCAATTAAAAAAAAAGAATTACTTATTTGATTATTTTTAAATGGATCCCAATATTTTAGACAAATATACTTGAGGGAGTAGATATATAGTGCAATTCGTTGGTGCATGTTTTAATCTCCCCGTTTATCGTCACATACTAATATGATGATTATAAACCACAAACACATGACAAAAGTCAGGAAGCAAATATCAACTCTACCAAACATTAATGGCTATTTTACTTCTTTTCAAGACAAAGACAGAGAGAGAAAGAAAGAGAGAGAATTTTCTTCCATAGTCTTTCTCTAATGCCTACGTTCTCTCTCCCTAATGGAACTTCGATTAGTGGGAGAGTGTACAATCATAGTTTTTGGTATTGAGAGCTCTTTCATCCATAATCTCTCTCTAACCCCTCTGATTTCCCTCTCCTCTCTTTATTAGAACTTGATTTAGAGAGAAGTTAAAATTGTGGAAGGTGAGAGAGATAGAGACAATAAAAGAAGAATCTCCACACTTTTGTTACTTATATTTCGGGGTTCGAGAGAGAGAGAGAGAAAGGGAGTGTTGTTTAAGGAGATTTTTGGTGTTTGGTCTTTTTGGTGGTTGAGCCGACCCCAAATAATTGGGAAAAGGCTATGATGATGACAATGAGGTCTAGAGAGAAAAGAGTGGTGGCTCTTTCTCTCATGGGATTTAGTGGGGCGTGAGGTTTGTATTCAAGGAGATGGGTTACAGCTTTTTTGGTTTTTAGGGAGAGAAAAAGATTGATGCAGTTTGGGTTGTCTGGTTTATGGTGATTGAAGTTTACACAGAGAATAGGACGGTTTCAGAGAGAGGGTTTAGGTTTAGATAGTTTCCTTTGTCTATAAGGAAATTGAATTGTGGCATGCTTTCTCTCGTGGGGGCATATTTAAATGCTCTATCTCTCTAGGCCGGCCCTCTCTGAGGGTATGGCCCTGGATAGAGCAGAATGGTGGACCAAGATTCATGTAGCCGACCAAAATAGTTAAAAAAGGCTCTGATGATGATGATGATTTCTCTAGGCAGACGCATGTTGTAAATCTACGAAGGGGTTGCAATGTAATCCACTGTATCTCTTTTGAAAACTGGCGGGGATGCTGCTGCGAATCTCTCAATATGAATGAGGCATGATGTAAATCTTTCTCACTCTTTATTGATTTCTTTCTCTTGTTTCTCTATGTTTCTCATTTGTACATATTTGCTTTCTTTCTTATTTTTTTCTCATTCTTATTGTTGTATAGATTTATCTCGTATTTGAGTTAAGTAATATATATAGGAACTCCCTTTTAATATATTTTTGTTTTCGTAAATATTATATTATATTTTTGTATAAAGCCTTTAGGACTCACATGAAAATACACTAAACCTTTTTGGAATTAATTAATATTAATATAACCAAATTTTCTAGCAAACCTGCAAAGCTTTTAGTGGGTACAACATGTGAAACGAACCTTTGTCATACTTTATACATAATAGATATCCACCAATATTTCTACCCAAAAGTGCTTGCCAGTCCAGCAATGAAACTTTGTTGGGCATACCACTTAACTGTATCAAATCAGGCAGTCAGTATAAATCCTTGGAAATGGTACAACAAGCCAATGATATGACAATTGCAAAACCTAAATAACTACTAAAAATTGCATTTGCAAGAGCAAGCTTCCCATGATCGTAATATTACACCAAGATGATCAAGACTAAATATTACCTCAAGAAGATCAATATTTCCCTTCATCAATTTTGGACCTTCATGAAAATCCACTAAACTTTTTTGCCATTAAACCAAATCTAGAGAACCTATGAAGCTTTTAGTGGTACCATAAGTGCACAAACCTTTGGTGTGCTTTATACATAATAGATATCTATAAATGTTCTACTAAAAACTGCTTGCCAGTCCAGCAACGAGAATTTGTTGGGCACATTACTTAGCTATATCAACATCAAGCAGTCAATAGGAATCCTAAGAAAATGGTAGAAAAGCCAATGATATTTCCCCACATTATAACTCATATATAACAATTTCAAAACCTAAATAACTATTGAAGTTTGCATTCGCAAGAACAAGTTCCCATTAGCTTAATATTACTTCAAGATGATCAAGACAACCAAAAGAAAAACCCAAAACTTAACGGTTTTCCTGGTAAAAGATGGGATCATATCAGTGGAAAATATATGACATTGTTGGAGTGTAGAAGAATCTCATAACCACACCAGTGGTGACACTTCTCAACTTGTAAGCCATGATACTAGCAACAAGCTTAACAAAAATATGTTATCCCTAAACAACAATAAAAAGATTCCTTATTAAGTGTGATCCAGGAGGCCCTGCATTCTCAAGATCGAAAAAAATCTGATACAGAAAGCAAAAGTTTTCAAAGTAATGAACGCCTCATACCTGCGGTGGCCTCTTATTCAACCGCAAGCCCACAGCTTCAAGCTCTTTTGTCAAGATTTGGCGATGACCTTCACTCTATGAGAAATATCAACCATCAATTATATGCAAGAGTAGAAGGACATTAAAAAACTATTTATTATCTAAAGGACACCAAAGTATTATCTTAAATACAATACTGCAAGAGTTTATGTAATAGGTTTCAAAATAAGTTAAAAGTGACTGGAGAATCTCCAATTTCCTATAAAATGATTGATGGAATAGCCTTTACGGCAAGTGCTTCACATAATAACCACAAAATGCAGAAAGGATGTGAACAAAGACATCTTGTAAACACTTGACATAGCAGAATTTATAGTTTAAAGTTAAACGAAATAACACATGGTACTAAATTTTTTTGTTTATTCAGTTCAAATCATTATCAATGTCAATGCCTTTTTTGAACTAATTGGGGTCGCTAAACGAATCCATGTTCGCCATTCTGCTTTATTAAGGGCCATACTCTTATTGAGGCCACAAGTCCCTATATCATTTCTCACTATTTCCAACCATGCCCATTTGGGCCTACCCCTTCCCTTTTTTAAGCCTTCCACTTGAACTAACTCGCACCTCCTAACGAGTGTTGCACTAGTACTACACCACACATGACCAGCCCACCTAAGTCTACTTTCTCTCATTTTATCGCCTATTGGTGTCAGACCTAAATTCTCCTTAATGTACTCATATTTAATTCTATCCCTTCCTGCCTTATCACTCATCCATCTCAACATCCTCATCTTAGCTACACTCATTCTATAAGTATCTTGTTTATTGACCGCCTAACATTTTGCCCCAGAAGTAAAGCTGGTCTCACAACTGTCTTATAAAACTTGCCCTTCAGCTTCATTGATATGTGGCGATCGCATAAAACTCCGGTTGTACATCTTCACTTTGCCCACCGAGCTCTAATTCTATGTACGACATCTTTCTCAATCTCTCCATTTTTTTAGATTACCGACCCACCTTTTCACTAAATAAGAGGTGTTAAGCTTTTTATCATCTTAGCGTTGAGCTATGTTTCTGCAAGACCCCCCCCACAATATCGTCACTGCAGTAAAGTTTAACCACCAAGTTCGGGATGGATTGGTGTGGTTCCTCTACGCCTAGAGCACCAAAGTATCGAACCATGAATGAAGAACGGCATGAGAGAAGCGTATTGGCAGTGATTGTTGATTGTGAGGCCCCAATTCTGGACTGGAAGGGACACCAAAGGGAACCTCCCTCTGCCCTTCCATCCCTTGGATAGATAGAGTGTTATACGGCAGAGCTTTTGGTGTCAAACACAAACAATTGAACAATGAAAATAGATGGCGTGTGACTGATCAAATTGATCGAGGCATTTGAACCTAGGTTCAAATCTCTCGATCTGTTAGGATGCCTCAGCTGCATACATCACTGCACTTCCACTTGACGCCTATCATGATGATAAATGGTTCGTCTCGCCGTGACCTTATCTTGGATTCTCAATACTGCTGTCGCTCCATCCCCGCAGGGACAGAGAACCTGTTGTTGTTTCGTCCATGCTATCAGAGGCTTTGGGGAAGTAAGAATAGAAGAGCACTCATCGAAAGTGCATTCTTTTTGGTATTTCTTGTCTGTTAATCTTAATTACTTCCTCATCTCTACCCCTATTATAACTAAACTTGCATTCCAGTTCAAATCAAGTACTAAATTCTAGTTGATTTCTTGGGTAAATAAATTCCACCTAACTGTTATGATAGAAGGGCTACATCACCTAACCAATGGTGCACCACATGTTGCCTGGATTATTTTACAGGGGAAGTAGCATAAAATCACTCTGCAGCATATTCCATCCACCAACACCACCATCCATAGTTAAGCAGCATGATATTGGTTTGAAACAATGGCCAACATAGAATAATTGCCGAGTTCAAACATAAATTTGGAAAGAATGCATCATCATAAAATACACATCTGAAAATTGGAACTAAAGGACATTTCTCAAGAAGAGCCACTCAAAAGAACCAGAAAATAAACAAAATAACCCCAGATGAACAAGCCTCAAGTTCTGGCTCCTAGTCCCAGTTACAAAACTACAAAAGTTATGTAAACCATAAAGATTAACTTACTCAATAATAGTGTTAAATTCATATCGGCTTTATCCATAGATAGTATCAGCTTGCCTTCAACCTGTCATAGTACGCTTGACCTTAACAATAAACTTGTTCTTAAATTCCTAATAAGTACAGGGGCGTAACCTTGATAGGGGACAATTGCAATGACCCTTTTCATCCATCAACATACCTTGTATGGTAACCAAAATTTGGAAAGTGAATCACAAGAGGCTATCAACTGGGGAGATTGTTTTATATTAATGACCATCACAAAAAACTAATGATGGAGCGTCCTGATAGTACCTCTATCTCTATCTCTTGTTCGATCACGCCACTTGAACACCCAAGTCGATCAAAACTGCACTTCCATCTTCTATATGGGTCGTGTATGTGACATTGACTTGCCTCATACGTCCAATAAGAATGTTGACATTGTTTGCAAACACAACCAACTCCGCCCTTAGTTTTCCCCAAAAAAAAAAAAAAATCATCACTTTTGGAATTGATCCAGTTCATCTGATGTATTGGGAGAAGGGTTTTCTCCAGCTAGCGCCTCATATTCCGGCAGTTCATTGATTATGCCCATTATCCTGGATGTACTTCACAAAATATGAATATGAATATGAATGGTGTAACAACTTCAAAAGTCTCATACAAAATCTAGTTTACAATTAAATTGAAGTCCCCAAAGAAAATTCAAGGGAAGAGTATCATTCTTCAGTTTTTTTTCAAAGTTTTTCGGCTCAACAGGGCTGATACGCACAGCAAAACGAAATTCTATTGAAACTCTTGACCAAAAATTGGAGACTATTATATGCTTAATGTTCGTTATCCAAATTCCATGTGTTTTCAGAAGCAAAAAGCATATAATTAATGATTTTAATCTACTAAGCGAACTTGTTGTTAGTTCTGTGCCAGTAACTACTTCAGAGTGGTTGCAATTTCCACACACAAGATTATAATTTGCTCTCTTTATTTTACCCTCCCCCAACAGTTTATACTAGACTACCCCGTCAAGATTCCCAACAAATCCATAGTATGTCATGGCTAACTTATTCAAGCGATCTCTTTCTAAAAGCACACCCAGTAATGACAAGCATACCAAGAAACAAATAGCAGTCCGAAACTAACACTTTCAACAAAAACCATTCATCATAAATGTAAGGACAAAGTCCTGCATATACAAAATTCACTCTAAAACATATTAACAGTCACCTGATAATAGATAGGACAACAAAAAACACAACCCTATGAAACCACACAAAATCAGGCCCAATAAGCATCATTATACAAAGGGCAAAATGTCAGACAAATTCTATTTATTCACCACATGCACTTGGGAATTTATTTAATGTTTGAAATACATAAAGGTCAATGGTCAAGATCACTTCACTCTATCCTACAGAGAGCATAAACATAAATGTTGATAGAAACACAATAACAGACTTGCACATCATAAAATAAACCAAAGCCAAGCATCATAACTCAGAACTTACTTTTGAGGCATCAAGTACCATCAACACAATGTCTGAAGACTTGGCAACAGCAATAACCTGATAGACAAACCAAAATAAGTTCATTCAGAACGAGAAAGATGAAATGTAAAGAAAATATAAGAAACCAAAAGTCAACAATGCCATCAATGATAGATAATTGATACTCGCTAAAATTCAACAACACTGGCATCTGTTATTATTTTCCATATATTGACAGAACAACAGAAATGTAGAAAAAACGTCAACGAATTATGAGACCCAGAAAAAGTCAGAAATTGGCAGACTTCAAGTTCCAAATATGATTTGCATTAAGATAGGCCATTTGGCTGAAATCTAATGATCAATTCAGCTGATCCACCAATTCTTTCATACATCAGCTTATTCTGACCACACAGTTGAACAGATACTCCAGGAGCACACATTACGGTTTTTCCTTTCACCAGAAAAAGCAGGCAGGGATCCAGAGATTATTTCAAACCATCAAGTCTACTTAGGTGACCTGAAAACCTAGTGGTCTCCAATTCCTAGGAATAACCAAATATTCCATCTTGGCTCATATATGTGCATATGGGCTGTGGTTGGCTTCAAAAAGAGCCGAACTGCTAAACTTTAACATAAAAATGCACTCCATATTTCTTCCACATTTTGTTGAACCCATTGAACTCAGTTTCCAAGGTATTCTCCTATTTTGAATCACTTCCTACTCCCCCTCTCCTCCGCTAGTTGCATCTCGTTCTCCTCCACTGATGATTACATGAATTGTCGTAATAATGTGGTCTCTACTAGCTTAAACTTTGATGCAAATGTAAAAGGAGAATTTGATTCTACTGCTCCCAATCCATCCAGATGCTAAGATGGATGATACTCATCCTGAGAGCAAAGGTCACAGGATGAAAGTTGTCAGCAAGAATAAATCTACTGCAGAAGGTTGTTGTTGCCCTGACCTTGCCCTGACCTTACATTGTACCAAGTACCACACAGAATAAACTGTGAGAGACAGTAAGATCTGACCTATCAAGGCTTGCAATCAATGCGGTAGTGCAGGAAAACAGGCATCTTTCCACAATCACATTCCACGTAATAAGGATGGGGGCCTGGTGTTGTTAACTGAAGTCAAACTAGTAGAACCAATTGAGACATACAATAGAACTTGCCAATCAAACAACTAATCATCATCATCATCATCCGAGTCTTATCCCAACTATTTGGGGTCGGTTATACGAATATTACTCCATCATTTTTTTCTATCAAGGGCAATACCCTCAGTGAGACATAGGTTTAGGATTCATAAAAAGATGTGGCAAAGTTTTATTGGCTGCCCTACCTACATAACCATCCTCCTTTATCCGGGCTTGGGACTACACAACTCTCCTCCTTTATCGGGGCTTGGGACTACACAACCCTCCTCCTTTATCCGGGCTTGGGACCGGCCATGGCAGAGTTCAATCAAACAACTAATGAGAAAAAAAAAAATCTATTAGGTTTCTGTACTTCAAGAATAAAGCTCATAAATAATCAGAAGAACAGCTCAGCCATCATAAAAGCCTAGTAAGCAATTTGAAGGCAAAAGGGAGCAGGAGAGGAGCACGAAATAGCTTTTCCCTAGAAAACCACATAGGAAGAGCCAAGGAAACACCAATTATGGGAGCAAGACTCCTGCCCGAACTGAGTTTTCAAAGACAAGGAGGTCACCACAATCTTTTGGAGACTCTTATGTCCCAAACGTTTTCAGGAATGGCAGTCCTGGTTCAGGGATGGCTATAGGGACCTCACTGCAACCCTTATGGGAAGTTGGCATAAGGGTCAAAAAAAAAAATCGTGTTAGAAGTAGAACCTAGAAAGATTTAAAATTCGTTCCATTGAATGGAGAAAGTATTTGAGCTTGAACATCTTCCACCAAGTAAGAACTAGTAATTATAGAATGTTTCATTATAGATATTGTCAGAAGAAATTGTTAATTAAAGAAAATTCCATAATATAATCCAGAGGCATGAAACATTTGTAAGCAAGTTGTAATATTTTGATCCAAGGGATCAGTTGACAAATCAACAGCACACATAATTCTCAGATGCATTCATTTACATAAGTGTACAAAATATTGCAGTAAGACAGGAATGTAACGCTCAAATTGTTCAGAAAAGGCGTATTCACCAATTATAACATCATACCTTATTTAAGGAAAAATTAGTAAGAAGGAACAAGATCAGACAAGACCAACACATAAATGAAAGATAAGGGTGCACTCATCACAAATTGGCAATCAGCTGATAAGTCAAGACTAATAGCCGAATGGTAACAGGAAAATATCAGAGCATCATGAATGTGTCCAAATATTTTACCTGCCTTCCGCGGCCCTTTCCTTCAGAAGCACCTTCAATGATTCCCGGAAGATCAAGAAGTTGTATTTTAGTATCATTATAGTGGATAATTCCTGGAATGCAAGTCAGTGTAGTGAACTCATATGATGCTGCTTCGGAGTGTGTTCCTGTTAGAAGAGTCAACATTGTCGACTTTCCAACACTGCAACATAAAGACAGGAGAAAGCATGAGAAGTTGGTTCCATCAAAACAAATCCAAATTGAAGAAGATAGATTGCACATATTCAACATCTCAGAAATATGAATGCTCGACAGGAATCAAATATGGAACGCTATCTTACATAAGCACCCTATATGGGAAAGAAATACCATACAATCAGCATAGCACAACTCATACATGGAGCCAAACAATGACCAACAGATTCCAGATTTTAATAGATCAGTTACATTGAAATAAACAAAACTCTATTCACTGTGGGGGTAACAAGAAAAGCATCCACAATATTTCTTTTGAGACAACATTCTTTATATATATATATATTTCTGTGGAGACCTTGAGATAATGCTAAAAGTGTAAATGAGATATTAACTGTGACACTACAATATACATCATGCCCATCCCTTTAATGATAAGTATCCCACAGTTTCCTGAGGGAAAGTAAGTCACATTAGTAACCATAAACCAATAAGATCCTAAGGAAATAATTGTGGACTCCCAATTGTGGGTTCAAGCCAAGTTGCTAAGAACAATGAAACTAGAGCAGCACTCTGACTTCAGAATCAGATCATGAGATTCCGAACCCCAAGATAAGGTATTAAGGATAATCATGACTTCAGAATCAGATCATGAGATTCTGAACCCCAAGGTAAGGATGATCATATTCACTAAGAAAAGTAGCTCATTCAAGTATAATCAGAAACACAATCTAATCTTCTTAGGTCCATGTTTCCATTTTCTTAATCATGACCCGATGTGTTGAACTGTAGAAGTAATAATATAAATTCCAGTTTTCATCATAAAAACAGTAATCATGAGAGAGGCCCATGTTTCTCTAATGAAATAGTGGGATTCGATCCTTTTGAAAAAGATAAGCACATTTAGTAATCAATCTCATTGCAAAAAATTCATAAAGGAAGGGCCTACATTAATACTTCAAAATATGGGTTATAGTGACCTCATGTAATAATTAGTAGTCTGCAGACCCAATTCACATTATATAAAATTGAATGGTTCAATTTTATGGCTTCTTCTCAAACTTCAAGAATTTAATGCCAGATCTTTCTAACATCTAACCAGCATGTATAATGTCCAATACCCCGGTCTCCTTTTTCTGTCCAACTAAAGTGCCATCAGCATGCCAATCTATTTTGGCTTGTATGGAAGCAGTACTGTTCTATGGAAGCATGGACCTGTTCATGGTTCCACCATTTTTAAAAGATAAAACTTCTTTCCAAAGAAAACAATTCTCATCAATCTATATTATTTATTATAATGTACGCATACATTGGAATACATGTTTCTCAAACTTATTTCAGAACACATATATATGAAATCATGCACATCTACATGTCCATGGTGCAGCCCTTTTCAAGGACTTTCGAATGCTAAACTTGTCTGACTAATACTGTAAGTCCATAATCTAGTTTCGAAGGAAAAGCCCTCAACAATATTGAAGTCATGTTATTTTTAGGTTCATACGATTATAGGCAACTAGTTTCTGAGCACAATATATTTCACATCAATCTACTTAAGTCAAAAACTTCATCATCATCATCATCAAAGCCTTTTCCCAACAAATTAGGGTTGGCTATACGAGTCTTGGTCCGCCATTCTGCGCTATCAAGGGTCATACCCTCAATGAGGCCATAAGTCTCCATATCTTTTCTCACTACTTCCATCCATGTCCTTTTGGGCCTACTCCTTCCCCTTTTTGAGCCTTCCATTTGAACTAACTCGCCCCTCCTAACAGGTATTGCACTAGGCCTACGTTGCACATGGCCAGCCCACCTAAGTCTACTTTCTCTCATCTTATCGCCTATTGGAGTCACACCTAAAGCCTCCTGAATATATTTATTTCAAATTCTATCCCTTCTTGACTTGCCACCCATTCATCTCAACATCCTCATCTCAGCTACACTCATTCTATGGGGATGTTGTTTCTAGACAGCCCAACATTCCACCCTATAAAGCAAAACCGGTCTCGCAGTTGTTTTATAGAACTTGCCCATAAACTTTATTGATATGAGGGGATCACATAAAGCTCCGGTTGCACATCTCCATTTCGCCTTGCCCACCCACTTCAGCAATCACATAAATATTGCTTACAATTGACTACTTATCCAATTGGATAACTTATCATGGATCAGATCTTTGCTCTGAACATGGAGGACATGACATTTTGAAGGAACCCTGATTTCCAAAAAGATGCAGGGACATTTTCAATACATCAGGAAGCAATAATGCAAAGAGAAGAGAGCACAATTGTAACAACACCTGCTCCCTTGTGCACAAAATGTGGCCAGAAAAGGCACTTAAGCCAAGCTCTTTACACGACAATTTGATCATTTCTGAAATACACAATAAGAATGCATATTCCTTGCCCTGGATAATCGTAATGTGTTTCTCTTTCATCCTTCAACAGGGTAAGGCCCTTAAACACATAGAATACTCTATGAAAAGATGTGTCATCAATCATGTCCTACACTTTTACCATTCAGAGCTTGTGAAGCTATGTCATACTCGTACCATTAAGGGGAAGCAAAAACATTAATTCCCAGCTTTTATAGATTACTGATTTTGGAAATGTAACATGTTCCATTGTAGCTTTTCACATTTATAGATCACTCATTTTGGAAACATAACACGTTTCATTGTAGCTTTTCTTTTTCAGCATGTTTGTTATACTACAGTTAACATTTTGCCAGCATAAAGAACCAGGTGAAAGTAAGATATCCATAGTTTATATTGCAATACACCATTGAGTACATTATTAAGGGGATGAATTGTATAATATACGTTTTATATAAGCCGCATTCATAAAAGTAGTCATAACATTGTTAACTATACTATCCCTTATATACTTCAACTAGCAATAAAGGGAAACAATTTTTTATTCACTTAAAACTTCTTTCTTGTAATGAAGACCACATTCCTATAGCTAGAATTTGCATGCAAGGAGTTCTTTTCTTATTAAAACATTATCTTGTAAGCTATCACTCCAAAGTTGCACAGGTGCCCCTTGTTAAGCCTGATTGTACAAGTAGAAAAACACTAGGTGTCCCTTTTCATGACACCCCCAAGTTCAATCCGACTGAATTTCAATCATAGGCAATCTGAGTTGGGTCTGACCTTAAGTCCAAATTTCTTAATTACGCATTAAATTCAACTATCATATGGTGGGAGATGAGCTTCAATAAGATATATTCATCTGTTTTTCAATAATATTTAATTTGGTCTTCAAGAAGGCAATTATGTGGCAGGCCAAGAAACCAACAAAAGGTAACACAGTTGCTATCACAACCAAAAATCAACATACTTAGAGGCTGTTGTAGTACATGAGATATAAAATCCACTAAAGTCATATGATAAATTTGTATGCAGCAACGTACCTTGGAAATCCTATCAAAGCAACACGACCATGCCCAAATTTTGTAACTTCAAAACCATCTCCACCTGCACTAGAACCCTGTTCATAATTTTTCACATTACACAGCAAGTCTCTACAAACATTACAATTGACAAGATCTAAAAACAGTACCATAACACAACCTCCATGGAATTCTCCCAGCAGCATCACATGGGCATCAAAATATTAGAGTTAATTATATACCATTGTATTAGCACAAACCATAGCTTGTGAAATTTAAAAACTCTTTTCAAATACCTTTCCATATGTACATGGGTGCAGTGAAAGACACAAAGAACATAAAGTACTGTGAGCAAATTACCTGAGATGCATGGAAACACATAATTTTGAAATGGCGAAGAAGATAACACTCAACATCAAATAACCCATGCACAAACATTGTTTCCATCTAGAAACTTACCTTTCTCCATAATAAATTTATAGAGGAGAGTAAACTGCAACTAGCTTGAAACTCTTTTGGCGAAATATGCCATAATCCAAACCTATTCTTTGGAATGATTAAGTTTGCAAAGCTGTTCCTCAATGAGTTTTCCTAACTAGGCACACCAATATTTTAACAACTATAAACAGAAGTTAAATAATTAATGTTAGTAACTCCAACCACAGCCAATAAATTGGACGTCCACCTAACAGGAACCATAAAGAGACTCTTTGCGCTAATCACTCTTGTAATTGATTTTCAACATAAATTTGTGAAAAACAAGGAACTGCCACAGTATCTTTTAATGTTGGACCAATGAGTGGATAAGGGTTGATGGGGTAACTTTCTTTTTTTTGGTTACTTTTTGGCTTTCACTTTGGAACTCCATTTTGTATTTAAGCGCCCAGCTTGTGGGTCACCATCTTGTTGATTTTGCAAACAAACTTTAATCATAGTAATAAAGTCAACGACTTCTATAAAAAAATAAAAAACAAGAAAGAAGATAGTGGATCCCTTGTCGCAGCTCTCTGGTACTTAATAAGAAGCCTCAACAATCCCATGAATAACAATAGAAAAGGTTGGCATAGAGAAGCAAGCGTAAATCCACTCAAGCCATTTAGGAACAAATCCCATCAAGGACGTAATTGAGACTAGGACATCCCAATCTCCATAATCATAGGACATATTCATGTCTAAGGCACCTCCCCAACACTTGAATCAACGCATTCATTAGAAATGAGGATCCAGTCCAAAATGGGGGTCCCCCAAACAAAGACTTTGAGAAGGTGACTAACGTTGCTCAAAATGGATGTCCTAGATCTTGAAAATGCTTCGCACAAAACTGATCGGTTTGAAATACCAAAGCATGTTTTGCTGCCTCAACCTTAGGGAAAGATCAATAAACATGACATTTGTGGCAACACCAAAAGAACCCTACTCATAGAAGCTGGAAACATTTCCAAAACATATTGGAATAGGTCCAATTGTCTAAGACGAATATAGTAAAACCATTTGGTCCAAGGGCTCTATCACAGCCCAAGAAAAATAATGCCGCCTTGATTTCATTTTCTTTTCTTCCTAGCTCATTGGCCATCACATTTGTGATCCTATCACAACTCAAGTCATGTAAAGCTCATTTCCAAATATCATCCTATTTGTATAACTTTTGGTAGAAATTCACTTTAGCAGTGTTCACATCAATTTCTCGTACCTTTCTCCTACTTCCCGATATAACATTGTTTATTTGATTAAATCTTCTACGGGCATTTGCACCTCAGGGAAGTAGGTTGTGTTCTTATCACCCTCCTCTAGCCACTTTGCTCTTGATTTTTGGCACTAAGTGATCTCTTCCTATTCTAGGATCTCCTGATATTGTAACTTAAATGACGCTCAGGATACTCTGTTTTACAAAGATAATATTGAGGCCTCTTCCTTCTTGTCAAGATACATAATGCCTTTTAATACCCCTTCTTCTTTTTCTTCACTATTTGATCCATGAAACTAATTCAGTAATAAAGAAGGGGGGAAAGAACAAGCTAGATATGGGAGAATGAGTGAATGGGATGTCCCGAAAGTACTTCATGGTTTGGTTGTCCTTATATTTATATAAATCATTTACAATGTAAGTGACAAAAGTGCCCATGACAACATTAACAGCATAGAAATATATTTACATATTTGCCCTTGTAAACTATTTTATATCATTAACATGCCCCCTCTATCCCTATATCAGTAACAATCATGGACCTGCCCTTTAGAAGTCTATGCCTTTGCTTGGTTAGCCCTTTTGTGAAAGTATCTGCCACCAGTTCATTGGTCCCAGAAAATTTTGCAACCATTTCTGTCTTCAATTTTTTCTCTCACAAAGTGTTGATCTATCTTAATCTGTTTGGTCTTTCAATGGAGCACTGGATATATTGAGATGGCTATCGCAATTTGATTATCACAGTCTAGAAGTGCACTACATAATTTGAGTCCAAGAGCCATCGCAGGATTTCTTATCCAAGAGATTTCAGAGGTGACTTCCCTATACTCAGCCTTTGTGCTTGATCTTGCCATTGTCCTTTGTTTCTTGCTGCACCAGGATACAAAAATCCTTGCACATAAACACACAGTGACCTGTAACCACTCTTCCAGTACTCAGGTCCCCAGTGCAGTCGGCATCTGAAAAGGCTACAACTCTTAAAGGTTTCATGTCCATATGATTATTTTGAAGGTAAAGTAGCCCATCATTCGTATTGGACAATGCATATACTGGATCATGGACTATGCATATACTGGATCACCTAAGCGTGTAAGATATACAAGGTCTTAAAGGAGTGAGATATTGTAAGGCAAAACTGTACTTTTGTACTGTTTCTATGTTTGGAATAAAATCCTTGAAACATTCATTATCTCCCAATCGTCTTTTCAAAACAGCAGGTTTAAAGGCTGGTTTTGCATCTACATTTTTGTACTATTCAAAAGGCCCATAGCATATAGCATCACCCAAGCATCATCCTATCTTTCTTTGTTTCAACTTCTATGCCTAGGAAGTGTTTTAGATTTCCCAGGTCCTTCATTTGAAATGTATCAATAAGAACCTTTTTAATGAGATCATCTTCTTCAATGAGCTCATTATGAGGACAATGTCATCTACATAGAGTACTAGAATGGTCATATCTTTTCCATCACACCGAATGCATAAAGATCGGTCCACTGGAGTTGTCTAAAAGTCATATTTCCTAATTGCTTTATAGAAGCTATCAAACCAAGCTCATGATGCATGCTTCAACCCATATATAACCCAAATTAATTTGCAATCTATGAGTTTTAGATCTCCTTCATTATAGCCACTTGGTAGTTCCACATATATTACTTTCGAGTCCCACGTAGAAATGCATTTTTAACATCCATCTGAAAAATATCCCAGGTATGGGCTCATGCAAGGGATAAGATAACTCTAATAGTGCCCATTTTGACCACTAGACTAAAAGTTTCATCATAGTCCAGCTCATATTCTTAGTATATCCCTTTGCAACTAGCCTTGCTTTGGAAACACTCGATGAAATCATCTGCCTTAGACTTTATTTACCTATTCGACCCCACAACATTTTCCCCTTTGGACCTCAGGACGATCACCCATATTCTACATCTATTCTACATCTATGTAGAGCTTGCATTTCTTTTATTACCTCTTTCCATCTTACATTCTTTGCTGCCATTTTATGCAAACCTGGCTCATGCTGTTTTAGAATTTCTGCTAAGAAAATTTGATGTTCAGTAAAAAGAGCTATGTCCACTTTTCTATTGGATGCCAAGTGCGAGCTGATCTTTGGAGTTGTTTTGGGTCCCTAACAGGTATAAATTATGAAGTAGGGGATTCTTGATTTGATCGCTCTTGAAGGACACATCAGGTTCCCTCTCATGAGTCTTTACTTCTTGGTGCGCATTTTCTATGCTTAAATTATCCTTCATGGACTGCTCCCTGTGTTTGATTCTTTGATAGACTATTACCTCTTTATCTTGCATTGGAAAGGAAATCTTTGAATTTATCAAATGTTTACTCCCCACCTCCATCACTACAGAATCGAATAATACAGCGTTGGAAATACGACTCAACAAAGCAACAGAATTTAATAGAGACATTGAAAACAATGGATTCTTGTTTTAAAAAGAAGATCCACGTCAAAACATTCGAACTTGGTTTTTATTTTTTCTGACTCTTTCCACTCTACCAAGCTATTCTCACTCCTCTTTGCTGTTCTGCAATACTCTTTCTCACTGTTCTTTCTCTCTCTCTTTCTCACCCTTCTGCTATCTCTCTCTACGTCTCTGCAACTGTTCTTAACTGTTGTTTTGAGCCTACACAATAAGTATTCTTTTTGTCTGTTCTACACCTTTTTCTGAGAGCCCGTCTCTTGTGAGTTGCCTTTGGGGTGGTGTTATTTGTATCTTTACTTATCTATAAAATCAAAATGTACTAACTCTAAAGGAAAAATCACTCTTTTATTGTTAACATTGAAGGAAGCTCACAAGAGCCCCTTGCCCATAATGGGCAAGACATTGGTGCCACATAGACTTGTAGGCCTTATTGGAAAGAAAAACGAATGATGACTGAACTGGAAAAACAAGAGACTCCCATTCTTGACCTTGATATTCCTGATACAATCTTGCAATGATGAAGGTTCCTCGATAAAATATGCAATCAAAAAAATTTCCCTGATAAAGTATATGTTCCCTTATTGTGTTCCTTCAGCAACTGTTCTCTTTGTATGAAGATCCTTCAGGAACACAGAGTTAGGAGTAATTACCGAGGAATACTCCAGATCATTAGGCAAAGAAATGTAGCCTAAATGAGAATAGACAATAAAGTATTATGCAAAGAAAAGGAACCTAATTGAGTATGGCAACAACATTTCCAATGCCAATGAAAGGAACTAGAGTGCCATCTCCTGCAATAACTTTCCCTTTACTAACATATGGGACTAAGGAAGAAAACTCAACTACATTACATGAAAATGATCAGCTGCACGAGTATCCATAATTCAAGAGGCATCTGAGGGCAGTGCTGAGGAATTCATATTGGCAACTGAATGTGTTAGGCCAGCAGTACTATTTTGGAACACTGGATCATATCTGTGGAAACACTGGGAAGCGGTATGATTCCTTTTTCCCCATAACTGACATATAATGGGCTGGTTGGCTTTTGTAAGCCAGTACAGCACTGGTAAAACTCCCTGGGCACTGTATCCTTGTGACCGATTGTTATGCCAGCATATCTATGATTTTATAAAATTGGTTAGAAGGATAAAATCGACCAAGTCCAAGACATGATTGTTCCTTCCTCTTCTACGGCCTCTAGTAGAAGTGTTAAGTTATAAGAATTGACATTTAAGACATCATTATTGTCTTCCTTTGCCTTCAACTGGTTTTTCCTGAATAAGACTTCATGTTGCAACAAGAGAGGGTACGGCTCATTGAAACCAGGTGTAGCTGGTCTAGACAAGGCCGATGTGACAAACACATCATACCCTTCACCTAATCCTCCAAGCAAGTAGAGCACCTTATCATCATCGCTAACATCATAGCCAATGGCAGCTAACTAATAATAACATCCCCTCACCTTGTTGAAACACTCACTAATGGTAGAATTCTCTCGTTTACACTTTGGAGTTGACGGCGAATATGCGTCAAGCTTGCCTTGGATGGTTGAGAATCAATCTCATGAAGAAGATCCCATAATTGCTTGGTTGAACGAACACCCGTCATTTGAGACAAAATGTCTCAAGAAAGAGTAAAATTTCACCAACCGATTAAAGACTGGTACGAGGCAAACCAGCTATCAAATTCAGGATTAGAGACCACTTTCATCTTTTCTCTGTCATCTTCAAGTACAATTTCTTTTTCAATAAGAGCTAGTGGAGACATTAGGGCTCCATTGAGATATCCCATCAGTTTTAGCCCATTCAAGAGTAGAACTTGGATTTTGATATTATGAAACTGGGAAGTACAAATAATAGAAACCATATGTGGAAGGTGAGAAAGAGAAACTTGTAGATAAGGAAGCCATACTTGATATTGGCGCTGAAAAGAGAATGATAGGGTCTGAATTTAAGGATGGAAAGAGGTAAGATTTCAAGTTTGGAATGAGAACAAATAAATAATTTGAAATACGAATAAAAAAAAAGAGTTAGGGATATTGATCTAATAATATAAGAGAGATCGAGATGAAGAGAGTCAGGGATTTTCAGATATGAGATTTTCAGATATGATATAAGAGACTGAGATAAAGAAGGGAGAGTTAGGGATATCAGATCTAAGATTTTCAGATCCAATATTAGAGAGATCAAGATGAAGATGAGATTTTGGGATTTTCAAAGCTGAAATTTTCAGATCCAATGTAAGAGAGAAGATGTTGTGGAATGAACCAGAATCAATATTAGCTTCTTCTTCTTTTTTAAGAGAGAATCAAAATTAGGGTTTTTAAAGAAAGTAAAGTTAGAGATCAGGAATGAACAGTTAGAGATCAGGAATGAACAAGAATCCAGAAAGAAGAATAGGTTGAGAATTGATGAGAAATAGGGTTTGAGAAGACAGATAGGGTTTGAGGAGAGAAGAATTATGGTTTGAATGAAAAGGAAAAAAATGTTATTGGGGTTTGACTTGACATTTCAATCTTAGCTACTTGGATCAATCTCCAACCTTGAGCTTAGATACCATGAAAATAATTCAATGATAAAGAAGGGAAAGCACAAGACATGTTTGCCCATGTAAACTACTTATCCCTAATAGGCCAAGATACACCCATCATTTCTAACCATATTCTTGAATCCCCGATGTTACATCAGCTCAAACCTGAATACGGATAGGCCTCTTCTACCTGGTTGGGTACCAGCAGAACAATGGTCCTGAACTGGCTTAGGTAGCCTTTTTGATTGATGCCAAAATATGACTCTCCCAATCCCCCAAGACAACTGATCTATCAATCCTTGTAACTAACAGGCGAGTCCCATTATTGGACTATAAACCTAGAATATAAACCCCCCACCCCCTCCCCATTCTTTCCATATTTTTCCTCAGGACTAATAGCCTCTAGGTTGAAAATCAACTTCCACTGTCACTCAGTCAAATTTGTAGTTTTCTATTAGATGTTTTTGCCCCCCCTGGGGTGTGCTATTTGTGTAATTGATTTATTAATAAGTTACTCTTTCTGTGCCCAGAAAGAATAACGAAGAGAACAGCTGTTCCCAAATATTCATGACTTAAAATTCAGAGTTTTAGCATAAAAATGAATAAAACAGTTCCATAGCTGCAAAAATATTTCAAGCTGTGACTAATTCAAAACCGCATTCAGAAAAATAACATAATCTAGACAAGGCAACCCACAAATGGCAATGTCAAGTCATAACAGTGTGATATGAGAAGCATTAATAAAGGCTAACAATCACAGGAAGGAAATGATGAAAAGTAAGTCCTAACAAGCTAGTCCCAAAGTGTATTTCTGGCATTTGCAAAAGTCAGGCACGATTTTCACCTTAAATATATTTTGGTTTCTAATGATAATATCACTATAGACCTAATAAAAGATCTATTTGCAATTTATAAGCATGGAATAGACAAACAAAATAAAGAATTCGGTCATCTGCAAACAAGACAAGTACCTTTGGAGGTTCCAGCAACTGCGTCCTCAACTTTGCAATTTTTGCTTTGAGTTGTCCCAGATGATACTCTACCAACATAATGATGGATGTTAGTCAATAGACTGAATGATACATCACTAAATGGCTGATAGAAAAATTAAGTGTATAAAGTAGAGCAAAACACAAATTTTCTCTTAATGCAACTAAAGCATGAGATGAATACATGAATGTTGAGATATTGCTACGTTTTTGGCAAACTTTGTTAAGCATGGTGAAAAGGAAGAAACAAGCAATAAGAACAGCATAAATGAAAACAGAAGTCCATGGGCAATATTAAATCTGACAGATATGACAGTTTAAGACAGTTATAATCCTAAAAAGGCAACAAGATCATTGAAGCAAAACAAGAAGAATATAGCAAAGAGCTTAGAATACTACGGAGTAGCCAAAGAGGAAGGTTAATGTATATGAACTAGGGCTGCCAAATTCAAATAAGGGAGAAACTGAGGTAAAACCTGAAAGTAGCTTGCAACAAACACTCATTCGACTATCATAACATAAATTCCAAGCAATTAGATAACCAGTCATAAAAGTATAAAGTGATACATAATCTGCCCAAAAGCATTATAATCTGGGACATCCGTAAGTAAGAATGGAATCTGTGGGTCTGAGAGGTAAATTCCATTCATATGTTTGACATTGCTAAACTACCTAAGTTCTAGCGACCAAATAATAATAATAGAGTGAGTTCTTCCCTCCTCTAATCCATATGAACTACTACCATAATATCACATATTTAACAACCATTAATTGATGTCTAATTCTCAGAATATGGTTGGTCAGACAGTCCAAAGGAATCGCTGTGGTTATGATTGCTAAGTTGTGACGTGAAGCCTGAAAGGAGGGGAACAAGCTGAAACTGATTAAAATGTCGACCTGGAAATCATCATAAGGTTGTTCAGAAGGTCCACTATGGATGAAGTACAGGTGATTGACTAATACCGACCTTGACCAAATGTCTTCAAGGATCTGATTCCAGATACATGTTTGCAGACAGTCCTCCCACAATTGCTTTGAATCTCAAATTTGTTGAGAACAGAAGGAAATCCATATCCCGCAGAATCCACAGGTGTGATCTTCATGTATGAGAGGAATCATCAAATGCCATAAGTCGGCTTGGCTCTAAATACTCAAGTATAATTGAGGGTACAGATTTTATTATGGGCTTCTCCGTACAAGTTATCTTGGAAAGGATTTTGCATGTTGTTATTCAATAGCTTAAAGGAGAGATCATCCAACTCCTCAAACCGTAAATAATAAAATTAACATTTTCTGTCAATAAGCCCAATTCCCAAAAAGTATCTTCTCTTTTGAGCTATCAAATAATAACAATCAAGTAATGGGTATACAAACTTCTATCGAAAATCAAAAATTCCAAATGAATTGTTGGCAATAGACATACAGTAGGTAATATGAAGCGATTGTACAATGACAAGAATCAGTATGAATAAGTTATGACAAAAAATTAGTAATAAGTGCTATTCGAGCACATACATGCAACTCAATAGTTTTAGAAAATTTGCAAATCTTACACCTTGGATGCATGCCCCACATGTGCATGTGTGAAATCTTGCAAATTTTTACACCTTCACAAATGATATTTACACCTCTTTCTTTGATTAAAAATATCATCTAGATATGCATCAGCAAAATAGATTTTACACCTGTCATTTAACAAGAATGTAGAAAAAGGAAAGTGGAGATAAATTCTTTTTGATGAATGGACTTAATGATGTGAGTGAAGGTTTACAAATGCTACATGTGGTCTATAAAAATGGGTTAGCACAATACGCACGAAAATCGTGTAGCCAAAAAGAACAAGGTCTTCCCCCTGAAGCCCCAAAGCTCTTCCATTTTCCCAGCCAAACCAAAGAAGCCTCTAGAGCAAAGCTGATAACACTGGTGCCAATACATGAACTCAGAGAAGCCACTCATAATTGCAGTGATGCAGCCCCCACATTGTTTCATAAGATAGGACCATCTGGTCACATTGAACTCACCACCCATCCACCAGAAACCTAAGCCCCACCTTCACCCCATCCCAAGCAGCAGGGAAGGGGATTGAAGGTTTGGAATTGGTCAAGTTCCGCCCAAAACTGGACCTTGAAGTTTGGTCTGTTTGAACCTTAGATCATTGTGGGCTTCCAAGGACAATGTTAGATACAAGAAAGTAATTGTAAGACAGAAAAGTCTGACGAGTCCTGCATACTCCAGATTCCTCTAAATGCTGTCAAGCTGGGAGTCCCGGATGTAAGGCCTCCTATCCCAAATGGACCAAATTCAGGCTAGGGTTAAGGAATCTAGTTTAATTTAAGAAATGACCAAGATTTTGCCCTATCCCAAGTGGATCAAATTCAGGCTAGGGTTAAGGAAGCTAGTTTAATTTAAGAAATGACCAAGATTTTAGGAATCTAGTTTAATTTAAGAAATGACTAAGATTTTAGGAAGAAGTTTAATGGTAAAGATTCAAATGAATTTCTCCTTTGCAAAGTCATCCAAACCCCAGATGTTCCATGCAATAACTTTCATTTGGAAAAACATGGTCCACTTGTTTCAAATATTATTGGGGTGCTAACAACTAAAGGCTAAAGAAAGCCATTCAGCATATCCTTTTAGTTGGGACCACGGAACACTAGTTGCAAGAACCTTATATCTTGGCAGCAGCATCCATGCTCCAACAAACAAAGCACCCTTGGGAATTAATTATCAATTCCTAATAGAAACTTACCTCTGAATCTTCCGACATCTTGTTCCATAGACAATTATTAGGCACCTTTAGCAACTAATAATGGATGAATACTATGCCGCGGAAGGCTATGGCCCTAGCCAAAGTCTAACAGTGATAGTATCCCGCATATGAACATGAAATGACAACAACTAACTGTACACCTTTTTAACAATAATGTTCATGTTCCACCATGTATCATTTGATGAATCAAGGATGGATTCCATCACGTAGTTATGTATTCCATCGAATCACAAAAATAAGAATTTTGTGGAAATCACATGATGCTATAAAGAGCACAAATTTCCTAATGATTAAAAACACAAAGTTGAATGACTTTTGGACAATGGAATCAATGATTTTTCCAATCCACTGCTCAGTTTCATTGTGTTCGATCCCAATTTGTATTTTAATATTTTTTTCTTCACTCAATTATATATATTACTGATGTTTTACATGTACTCTCAAGCCCAAGTTACCATGGCCTATGGGAGAGTTTTCTGCTTAGCTGTCTAGTTGATGACAGGAAAATTTTCTAGTACAGTATTATTCCACTATATTAACTCCGCCATGGCCGGTCCCAAGCCGATCATGTTGGTCCCGTGCCGTGATAAAGGACTATGGTTGTGTTAGGTAGGGCAGCCAGCACAAAACTTTACCACATCTTTTCATGAAACCTAAACCTACAGAATAAGATTTGTATAGCCGATCGCAAATAGTTGGGATAAAGCTAGAATGATGATGATGATGATTATTCCACTAGATTGAAGTACAAGCATCAGTTACAGCAACCATTAGTTTAATTAATATAAAATTATATCTGCAAGACAACCACAAAACATGGAGGGAGATAATGACAACATGGCAAAGAGCATGTAAAAAACAAAGAGGGATGCCGGGGAGAACCTGTGGCTTTGTTCTTTTGTGTCCGTGCCATTTCGGCTTCTATTTCCTTAATCTTCTCAATGATACCCATCTTTCTTGAGTTTTCCTTCTGGAAAAAGGAAAAATAAAAAAGTTAAAATAAAATTGATTTATTCTTACTTGCGAAAACAAAGAGACAGGGTGAATGGACTACCGATAGTTCAAGTAAAATAAACCGGCAATTAACTTCTCACAGTTGCTGGGTTGTTTGCTGAGTGAAAAGGATATACAAATCCAAAGTAACTGTGCTATTCAGAGTATATATAAAACTGCAGCAGATGAAAATTGATAATAAACATAAGAAACTGAATTTTATCTTCAGAGGAAAATCAAGAAAGACATTTTTTCCCTGCCAGTACTATATTCATAAGACTCAAAAATTCTCTTGTACCAAGACCATCACACAAACTCAGATGATTCCTAACTACACACAGAAATTCAATTTATACAAGGTCATAATAACTGGAGTATAACTGAGTGGAGAGGCTATTATTTGCAAATGCTAGTTGTACCCTTAGGAACAATAAATATAAACCCAAAATTAAAATGTTATTCTCAATGGTCATTTATATCATAGAGAACAAAACACAAAATTTGACAATGAACATAAACGACTGAGTCATACCTTTGTCAAGTAAAAAATAACATCAACCAAAAAACCTATAGAAATAATTACTCAAAGAATATGAGAGGTTGTATGTAGTTACATAACGAAGTGAAAAAATTAAAAGCAAGGTTTCTTGTTAGCAAAGAAAATCAACGTTAAATAGTCTAGTGCATTCTTCAAATATAAAAACAAGCTCATAAGAAAATTAAAAAAATACTATATATATATATATATATATATATACGAGGAAAAATTATGAATTAGGGAAAACTACTCAATAATTATGGACTAGGGAAAACTACTCAATAATTATGGACTAGGGAAAACTACTCAATATATACTTTTGTGACTTTGTTGATTATCAAGGAAAAACATGTGCATCATGTTATACATCTGACACACATTAGATATATTCAATTTGCATAATAGTTGTTGCGCTGCTTGAATTGGTACACATGGTAGAAGGTCAGATACAGGCAGTAAGAAAGCATATAAAGCCATTGTCACGAAGATGTCAGATCATGTGTGATAAAAAGAGTAAGGGGTAGGGTGAAATGTTGAAATGTCAAATTAAAAGTATTTAGAGGCATTGGTGCATTGGAGTGGTTTCTTTACCTCCCCATGGATCAAGTGTTCTGCCATAAGATCTGGAGTAAGGCTATTCTCCCCACTAATAAATGTTTTCTGTCAGATTAAATGTACTTAGAGGCATGGGTGTATTGGAGTGGTTTCTTTACCTCCCCATGGATCAAGTGTTCTGCCATAAGATCTGGAGTGTGGCTATTCTCCCCATTAATAAATGGTTTCCATTAAGTAGGCAGTTCATAACCCGCGATGTGTTTTCAGGGCAGTATGAGATTAAAGGGTAGCTACCTTTGTTTGCTATAGGTTTTCTTTGTACAGTTGAAACTGTGAAACTATAAAACACTACATGAGTCGGAAAACAGGACCCTGTGAACCTAGCCAATTGCACTGTATGCTGCATTGTTTCCAATGCAAATGAGATTATACAACATCAAAACTTTCTTTTAATTGTTATAAATAACACCAAACATTATTTATCACAGCATTCAAGTGGCAGTCATATTTTACATTTGAAACTCGAAACTTAGTAGGCACCAAGTTCGTTTCATTGGGAGTGAAATGGAGGAAATCGTGTACCAATTGGCAGGACAACCTTTGTGTCAATCATGAATTCCTCTACCTATTAATCGATCACAAAATAAAAGGCGAAAATTTGATGCTGCGACAATTGAAACAACACAGAAGCATTAACAAATTCGAAAAGGAGAATATAAGAGCAAGAATGAAACGTGAAATTATAATACAGAATCATGTTTGTCGACGGAGTCTTGCAACCATGAAAGGAGTTAAAAGAGTTCCTATACTGTGGAAACTTATCTGATAGAATGAAATCAGTTCGCGAAATAGAAAAACTAGGAGAGAGAATAAATGGAAGGAAAGGGAAGACAAACCAGTCAGGAGCTGTTACCGCCTCAAATATTGTGGCAATCTCAATTTGCCAAATCTCTCTATCTAATTCCTAATGCAACCCAAATATCTCTCTCTCTCTCTCTCTCTCTCTCAAATTCCTAATGCAACCCGAATCTCTCTCTCTCTCTCTCTAACCCAAAATCGGCTTCCCACAGAGAACTGAATAACACTGAAGTGAATTGCATTGCACGAATGGGTGTTTTTACGATGGTCTGGTATTTTAATGGACAGAAATTCTATGCTAGTACTAAGGACTCTGGAAAGTCATGGTCCTTGACTCATCACCGTCCAAAATCATTATAGATGGTGATGAAGTGTCAGGCAGACCAGATTATGATAGGCCCACATTCTCTCCATCACCATCTCCACTTCAAAATGGCAGTATCTATCCTAAGTAAGGTTTATTGTGCTATTTCCTTGTAAGGGTAAAACAGGATAGGAGTAGGCTGGGCATGGGGTCCGACCTAGGGCAGTGGACCTGCTCAAACCTAGCTCTAGCCTAGCCCTAGTCCCTATAGGGCCTGCCCAAGCCCAGGCCAGCCCAACCCTGATTAAGCCAAAGAGGCCTAGGCCCAAGGCCAGGCCCAGGCCCATCCCTAGCCTTATTAGGACCTGGCATGATTAGGTTGGGTTGGGCCGGGTGAGGCCAAATAAAACATTAAAAAAATAAAAGGAAAATAAATAAATAAAAAGGTTGAGCCCGGCCGGCCCAGGATGGACCAAGCCAAATAGAAAAAATAGAAAGAAAAAAATAAAGAAAGGGAGGGCCCAAGACTGGATGGGCTTTTCCCCATGGTGTGTGGTTGCTTGGGCCTGGCCCGACCCTCATACTACATTTCATGGCCAGGCCCTAATTTTTTAGGGTCCAGCTAATCGGGATGGGCCAGGCCATCCGGACCATTGCCACCCCTACATGGTAAAGATTGGAATGCCCTACGTGTGAAGATAAACGTTATAAGGAAGAATTTTAGGTGCCCACAGGTCCCCAAGACACCCTAGAATCGATGCACCCTCTTTGACAACGGGAAGCTTCTAGTTTTCTAGAACCTGGAATTTCATAATCCCTATGGAGCTGGATGATCTAAAGCCTTGTACTCGAAAATATTGTGTTTGGTAACCTATCTAGAATTTAGAGGAACCTGGCCATTTTATAGAAATGTTATGATCACTTTGTATTATTGATTATATTTTTTTAAAAAAAAGAAACCTACGCAGCAGCATGAGTGTTAAATAAAAGACCGTACACCTTTTTTTAAGGGAAGTTATTACAAATATACTTTAATTTTTATCTATTTAGAAAAAAAAAAGTTTATTTTTCATAAACCTCGCCCACACCCTTTTTTTTTTTCCTTATGCGACATTTTTTTCATTGTACAACATTTTTTTCTTTATACAACATTTTAAGTACTGTAAAAGCTAACTCATGTTTCTACCATATTTTAAGTGCCGTAAAAACTAACCCATGTAATATGCATTTTAAGTACCGTAAAAACTAACCCATGTAATATGCATTTTAAGTAACGTAAAAACTAATCCACTTTTAAGTGCCGTAAAAACTAACCCATGTAATATGGCATTTTAAGTAAAAACTAACTCATCTGATACAGTACCGTAAAAACTAACACAAGTTATACGGCACTCAAAAATATCATAAACTCTTTTTTTCTGTTTATATTCATCCATTTCATCTCTCTAATTCTTTTTATGTTTATCTCTTATTTCTCTCTCTAATTCTTATTAATATTTATTTATTCTTTCTCTATATAATTCTTTTTAATATTTATTTATTCTTTCTTTCTTTAATTCTTTTTTATCTCTTATTTCTCACCAAGGATATGTTTGACACATGGAGTTTTTGGGAGTGAAAGGGACTAAAACTGCTCTTCCATTGTTATAGATGACTGTTCTTCCAAAAATGAACTCATTTTAACACTAAAAAAAAAGCTACATGGAAAGTCACATTTCCATTTGAAAGCTTTCACACGGTAATATCAAATATGGAAGTGAGACATTTAACTCCCACTTTCAGAAACTTCTACTTATCAAATACGTCCTAAATCTTATCTCTCTCTAACTCTCTTTCTCTCTCCAAAGATATTTGTATAACAACCTATGAGTACATTACCATCCCCTATAAAAACTCCCTTCAATCCCATCCCCTATGAAAATTTAGATAGAGTTAGATTTGTATCGTGTTGGAATCGTGTTTGTTGGGTTGATGAAGTAAGTAGAGAGAGAATGAAGAGAAATATTAAAAAGAATTAGAGAGAGAAACAAGAGATAAACATAAAAAAATAGAAAGATGAAAGAGATAACTATGAACAGAAAAAAGGGTTTACGGCATTTTGAGTGGCCTATAACGTGGGTTGGTAACATGGGTTAGTTTTTACGGTAATTAAAATGGCGTATAACATGGATTAGTTTTTACGGTAATTAAAGGTACTTGGCTTAACGGTAATACAACTACCGTTAAGGTTATTTTGGTAAAAAAAAAAAACTCAAAATTCAAGAAAAAAAACAAGAAAAAGTGTGGGTGAGGTTTATAAAAGTTGAGAGTTTTTTTTTCTAAATAGATAAAAATTAAGATATATTAGTGATAATTTTTTTTTTTAAAACAAGCAGGCACCCATGAGAGTATTAAAGTATAAAACGAAGTCAGCTATAGTAATTTAGTGATAAATAAGCAGGCAAAGGTACCACATCTTATTAGCCTCAATAATTCACATAATGCTAGCATATAAACCCCTAGGTAAGCATCATTAAATTTGAACAGATTATAGCTCTTGATCTTTACAATTTCTATCTTGACCTCTTTATGATACAAAGAAAAATACATGAAATACAAAACCAGAAAACCTTTCAAGATTACAAAAATCAACTACTCGCACACAAATTACATACCAACCACTACAATATAAAGGACCCACAATATTTACCCAAAAAATTAAAAAGGACCCACAAATAAATCACCAATAGATGTAGAAAATTACTGAAAAATTTAAGAAATCCAAAGAAATAACAAGAACATAAAAGTTGCAATTAACAACAAAAATTATGGAAATGTTTTCTGAAATTTTTGAACAAAAAGGTTAAGATAATAATAAAAGCACCAAATCGATGCTAAATATTCCTCAATAAATGGAACATAGGTTAGAGAGAGAAGCAGAGAGCTCGACTAGTTTGCAAGCGAGAAAATATGCAGATGTAATTGTTTTCTTATGAAAATAGATTTTGAATTCATAAACACTTGGACCACGAGAAATCTCTCTTCAGAACAGAGATTATGCTAGGCAAGCCACTTTCCTATGTTTGTTTTGTCATAAAGTGGCATACAAGAAAATACAAACATTCTCATGGCAATGCAAATTGGTGGCGTTTTACAGGAAAGTGGCTTTCATGAAATGCATGTATGAAGCTGATTTCTTGAAAACTTGTATTTGGATATGAGATTTCCATGAACTAAACATCTCAGACTCTATTCGAGGTTAGGAGGTTATTATTCGTAACAATCAAGTTTGGGCTCCTAGAATTACATTTAGACATAGTTTTAATCAAACGAGTGAATGGGTGATATGAAACCAAACTAGTCAAGGCGATATGATCCATAGGAACATATATCTTATAAACAAGAAAACAAAAGGATAAATTTGACAAAAAGCCAAAATAACATTAGAAGAAGTTCAGGATATAAAACACATGAAATATATACTTCAAAAGTGGAAGAATAATAGAAATAAGAGATACTTTAAAATAATAGGCAACATGAGGTCTTATGTTTGTAATTTCTTGCACATCAACTATGAAATAATCAATGTCGATGAATCATGAAATAATTAATGCAAGATGAACAATGGATAATCATGTGCAAGAAAGCTCTAGAAGAATAGATGCATAGGAAAATGTACGTGGATTGTACACAATGAGACCATTTACTTTTGGTATAAGGAAGCTACAATTTACTTATAACCATCCAATGTGAAATTTGATAGCTTGCATGTACCACAAAGTTCGAGAAAATTTTTTTTGAAGTTTGAGCGTGGTCAATGGAATAAATACATGCATCTAAATTCACATCCAATGGTCAAGATTAATTGTGATGACCATATACCAAAGGTAAATAGTCTCATTGTATACTTTCCCAAATATAAAACATGAATAAATAACTATTACGGTAAAAGAGGTGACATACTTTATTTCCCAAATATGGCTCGCCAAGAGCGTAGTTGCTGGCTCATCGGCCGGACTTTGGTGACCCACTAATGAGTCTCTGCTTGGACTGTGGGTCATGGGAAACACTGGGTTGGTCTGATAAAGCTAGTGTGATCTGTAGTCCA